TAAATATTTTTGTGCAAATATAGGACTTTCTCTTTCCTTTTGGTAGCAAGGAACTCATTACCCCATAAGGCAATCTGCTACATTTTGGGATATCTTTAATTATCAGGAAGTTTTTGCTCATAATGAATGAACTGAAATCTACTTCTCTTTAAGTTTAATCCATTATTCCAAGGGCCAAACAGGATAAATCTAACTGCTCCTTTACACATCAACCTTTCAGAAAGTTGAAGGCCATCGTTATGTATTCTCCCTTCCACTCAATCCCCTAAACCTTCTCCTCAGGCTATCTAACCATCCCTAGATCCTTCAATCCCATAGTTTTAAGCTCCCATACCATCCTGGTCATCATCTTTTAGAATGTTATGGCTGCTATGTGCTACACTATCACGTCCACTTTTCCATTTATCATAATAATAACAATAACTAACAATTTTTTAAGGTGTTCAAAATGCTTTATGTAGGCAAAAGTGAATTTCTGTTGATTTTTCCACCCACTGAAAAAATGATTGATTTTCTAAGGTAAGAACACTTCTTGAATGAATTGATCAGTAAGAACTAGATGTAAATAAGACTTGGACAGCTCCTTGAGTCAATCAAAGGCATTGGGTGAAGGATTTGTTCACTATCCTGAGGGATTTATATAAAAAGAGGAAATACCTCAGAACAGATTACAAGCATCTGGCAGTATAGAGGAAAGAGTGAGGACATCAAGAGCTGAGTCAGGAAGAATTGTTAGGATGGGGCAACCAGCAAAGAAAAAAGAGAAACTAGGACTAAGCTCTGGAAGAAAAGAGAAATATGGAGGAGGTCCTGCAGGAATCTCAGCAAAAGATTCAGGCTGATGCCACATATTGATTGCACCCACCTTCTAATGACCTGAGAGAAGTTCCAAGAGAAAGTTTTCTCTTTCTTCAACTTCCCCTCCTTGAGCATATCTATGAAGAAACACTAAGATATGGATAGATATAGATACATACACAATACATATATACACACATATACATTCATACATACATACATACATACATATACATATACACACATATGGTTTTATTACACAGATGTTTCTAGTAACATTTTTACTTTTTATTTTATTATATATATAAATGTATATATATAAATATATGAAATATAATATTATTCATTAGTATTTTATTTATTATTTTACTTCAGTCCCAAAGAGCCTGGAATATAAATATAAATTAAATCTGAGACACAAATGTCTCTACTTAAATGTTAGAGATTTTTTTAAATGGGGGCTTAGAGCAACTGTGGTGGCATTTCTAACTTTTCATCTAAAATAAACTCCTCAAAGCAACAGAGGAGGGAAGCATATGAATATAAGGGGCCATTATATCTATTATCCTTGGGCTTAAAACAAGCTAATTATTCCAACAGTGTTTCATATATACTGTCTAAATTTATTTGAACCTCACAACCAACAACCGTGTGAAATGCCTTGCTATTATTATCCCATTATATTGAGGAGGAAACTGAATGAATGAAAGCATTGAATGAGTTGAGGGGGAATGACATTTTTGAAGCACTTACTTTCACTCTTTAGCCCAATCAGAATGCACTCTGTCTTAGGCACTGAGGATGCAAATACAGAAAGGAAGACAGGCTCTGCCCTCAAGGAGCTTACATCCTAATTGGGGAGACAATACATATAAACCTGGAGAGGTTAAATGACTTGCTTACACATAATTTTGATGAGTTTGGTTTTTCTTGGAGCTTCAGATGGCAGTCTTTCACTCAGTTAATATTTTAATTGTCCTCCATATGCAATGCACTAATAATGAAGAAAACCCTACTACTACCACTCCTTTCCCTCCTCCTACTCTTAATAGCTGCCATCATACAGCACTTCGAAGTTTTTCGGAGTGTTTTACATACTTTATCTGCTTGATCCTCAGAACAACTTTTTGGGTGATAGAGTTTTATATTTTATATTTACATTTTACAGATGAGGAAAGTGAGATGCAGAAAACAAGGAAGTAAACATTTCTGGGTTAAAGGATCTCAGTCAACGAGATCTAGCTCAGTTCTGGCCTTCTAACCCAAATCAATGTTTTCAGTTCTGGCTCTGGGAAAAATGTACTATACATGATGGCCCATGGGTGCCCTATTACCATCCTTTGAATCTTCATGTGTCGCTGGCACCCAGGATCTCCTGACTAGTCCAGTGCTAGAGCCACAGGCTTCCACTCCCAGCCCAATCAGAAAATCAGGCTCAGTGGCAACAGAGCAATTAATGACAGAAGACAAAGGCCAGTTGTCTCAGTCTTTTGAAGAGAAGGCTTTGGTCCAAGCTATGGAACCTTTCAGTGCCCCAAAGATTTCATGGTATAGTCAATCTTTTTGTTGCCCAGACAGATTCAGTCTGAACCAAGAGGCGTAAGAAACATAGAACATTAAGAAATCTAGTGGACCTTTCAGGCCCTCTAATCCAACCCTCTCATCTGATATACAAGGATATTGAGGGTCAGAGAAATGAAGTCAGTTGCATAAGGTCACACAACTAGGAAACAGTAGAGTCAGCATTTGAACTCAGGTCTTCCCAATCCAGTTCCCTTTGCATTATTCCCCATTAGCTTGCCAATAAGAGTGTTCTTCCATTCAATTCCTTTGGAGTCTTCAATAGAGCCAGGCTTCGGTTGAGGTGCCGCTGGAGAATGAGTTGAGTATTGGTTAGGAACTGCTCTTTTTCTTGTTGTTGTTGTTGTTGTTACTGTGTCCCCGGGAGATACATGAAAGAGAGGATCCTTCCGTTTCACCATGAGGACTTATTTGATTGGTTACTGAGCCAGAAGACTATGAACTTTCTTAAGGGGAAATCTCCATCTTTCAGAATGCTTCTTTCAGCTGACCTCAAGGTATGAGGGTGACTTTCTGAGCTCCTAAGGTTCAGAAGTGTGGGGATGCCTTTAGCCCCAAATCAGATCAGCCCGTGAGTTCAATGGTAAGCCTGCGCACAGCAAGCCTGTGTCTAGGATTGGACCACTTCATGCTTGTATCCTCTTTCAGGACCTTGAGAGATCTTGAAAAGTAGCTGGTATCTTCCTTACCGTGCACTGGAGAAGAAAATTACTGGCTAGCAGAGAAGTTACAACAGTAGTGATATCTGAAGGAAACACAGGGGAAAAATAGTAGTAGATCAGCTGAGAGGGGAAAAAATGTCCATATTCAAAGAAACCACAGGAGAGAAAAGAGCCTACTTGGCATTGATTGGGCTATACTTAGTGGAGCTGAATTGTAAAATAGCTAATGAGCAGTAAACTGATGAAGAATGAAATGAATAGAACCAGAAGAACAATTTGTTTAATAACAGCAACACTGTATATAAAACAAAACAGATAAGTTTGAGAGTTGTATGAACTATGATCAATATGATGACTATTCTTGATTCCAGAGAACCAGTGATGAAACATGCTATCCCTTACAATGAGGTGATAGGTTTAAGGTACAGAATAAAATGTATATTTTTGTATACAGCTATTGAGGGCATTTGTTTTGGTTAATTATGAATGTTTGTTAAAGGAAATTTGTTTTTCTTTTCTTTTTTTTTCAAGATGGTGGGGATAGGAAGAAAAGAAAATGGAAGTCTGTAAATTTTTAAAAATTGAGTGGTGGCATGAAATAATGAAGAGTGGAATGAGCCAAGAAAACATTGTATACAGTAACAACAATATTGTTCAAAGAATAACTGTGAACAATTAAGTTATATTCTGAGTATTATAAATACTTAAATCAACTACAAATGACCTATGAAGGAAGATGCTGTCCACCTTCAGAGAAAGAACTTATATATAGAAGTATGCATAGTATGGTTTTATACACATGTGTATATACATATGCATATATGTATACACATATGTATATATACACATATGTGTATACATGTGTGTCAAATGGTGGCCTTCTCTAGTGTGGGCTGGGGAGGGAGGGAACGAGACAGTTTGGAACTTAAAATGTAGCAAAAAATAATTTTTCAAAAAATTTAGTGGTAGGAGGAGTAGTTGCATCCACTTTAAAATGAGGTCAATGTATTATTAGTTTTACTTAACTGTTTTACTTTGTTTCAAGAGATCTCTCATGAAATGGTAGGTAAGTGTAATGTAACAACCAAACACAGGAACAATAAAACTGAAAAAACAAATGTCCCAATGAGGCTTCCATGTTAGCTTTTCAACTGTAATAACTCTCTGGTTTTTTATTGTTTAGCATTCCCCTTTCTGTATGGGAATAAAACTGTTTCATGTCAGATTCATGTGTGTACTCTGGGCACCATTTAGCTTCCTCATACTGCTGGGAAAAACACCTTAGACTAGAGACAAAAACAAAATTCTTCTGAATCAGAGGTAGGTGTGGAATTAGAGCACTGGGAGCCTAGTTCTCCTATAAAGAAGACATTCAACCCCAGAGCAATGAGGGTAGGAATTGGCAAAGGTTGAAGATTGCCAACTCCTGTGGCTTCAGCCTAGTAGTATCTAGCTAAGCTGAGTGCTAGATAGATGGTAAGAACAAGAATTGAGACCTCTGGTGTGTGTATTCTTTCTTGCTTGGAATAGCCCTAGAAAAGGGGTGTATGAGAAATCCAAACTATTGCATGAGTTTGAGTTAGAAGTTCCTCCTCATACCCAGCTCCTGCCATGGAAACAAACTTGGAATCAGGAAGCTTCCCCCTTTAGATAATAGGAATAGTTTTTCTTTCTTTTCTTTTTTTTTAAGAAACCTTAGTCAATGCAGAAAATGGGAAAAGCAGCTTGACTTGACAAAACAATAATAACTAACACTGATATAGTATTTTCAGGTTCGCAAAGTATTTTATACATATAGTCCCATTTTGATCCTTCTAACAACAGATGTGTGAATGTGTGCTACAATAGTTATCTCGATTTTGCAAATGAGGAGATGGAGGCTCAGACAGGTTAAATAACTCATCCAGGCTTAGAGAACAACAGGCATTCAAACCTTGGTTGTCTTTTACTCCTCTCCAGCACAACATCTGCAATACCATGGTGCCTCTCAAGTACAAATGAAAGAAATCCTTGCTGGAGACCACACAGATTTGAAAACATCAAGACATTGTATCTTAAGTTATCAAAAGCTGGGAAAGAAATTGAAAATAAATCTCCAGTGGCATTACAATTGAGAAGAGGTAATTGAGAGAACATGAATAATTGCCATCCCATCTATTTACTTCTTCATTTCTACAAAATCTTTCTAACAGTGTTCTCTGCATACATTGAGGGTTGTTGATAAAAATATGATCAAGGAACATGCAGATGTCAGCAGATAATTTCTTCCATCAGACCATATCTTCATAATCTACATGATTGACTGAAAAGTTCAGAGAATACAAGATCCTACTGTGTGTATTATTTGTGGAATATAAAAAAGCATTTGACTTGGTGGAGTGAAAGCCAGCCTTAAAGGTTTTCTTCCAACAAGGTGTCTCCCATGTATATATTAAAATCATAGTAGATTCTCTCCTAGATGAAGCCCCAAAGAATTAAATATTTTCTGATTATTCATATGAACTGAAACATAAAACAGGGAGACATGTGCTTATCAAAAGTGTTTGTTACTGTCATGGAGGCTGTATAGCATATAGTCCAAGAAGAGAGGATTTTTTTAATAGAACGTGAGGTCCACCAGATGCTTCTGTTTACTGATGATGGACTGGGTCAAGTTCTAGACATCTACATAGTAGGCAATTGATAAATGTTTGTTTCCTTCCCTTGTTTTGGAATACTGTAGTCTCCTAAATGACCAAAGATTCCATCTAACCACACATAGGGGAAAAGCCAAATGGACAAAGAATGCCCACTGACTGAATTATAATACCGATGAGTAACTCCATTGCATTGATTTCTCAATATAGAAATTTTGGATAGGTATTATAGATGGACATTGAGCTTGATCCAAAATTAAAGAAGAGGAAGAAAGTAGGTGGGAGTGGTTTGGGAGAAATTGTGAAGTGCTTCCCTTGATCAAGTGTCCCCTAAAACAAAAAAATCTATCTTTTTAACACCAATCTATATGCCTGTGAAGAAAGGGACCCCACAATTTCCAAAGAATCAAAATTGCCAGTAAGCCAAAGGTCAATGAAAATAGCTGCATGCAGACTGAAGCAGTGCATCACTAATGATGACATAGATGTATGAGAAACAGCATAAAAGATATTTTCAGGAAACCTAAAAATGAAAAAGGAAGTGGGTTGGCCATGACAAAAGGGAGGGATAACATAAGGAGTTCCAATGCTACTTATTCCCCCACAATGTTAAAATGTCTAGAGAAAAGTCAGAGAAGACCTATGAGAAGGCATGGAAAAGAGTCATATGTGATAAGGTTACAATGTGCCCCATTGAAAGGAATACCAATATCCTTGGAAATGTAAATCCACCAAAGTATCCAGAGTTAAAGTACAAGAACTTTATGGTATTAGTATAGTATGAGAGCCTTAACTAGCAAGTTTATTTTTAATACATTTTTAAAGGATTTGATTTACAAAAATATTGTTGCCCATTTGTACAGCATCATTTCTTAACCATTTTCCAGACATTATTCCATTTTACTTAACCAATAAGCATTTGTTAAGGACTTAACTTTGTCTCAGGCCCTCTGCTAAGGAAAGAGAGGTGACTGAGGAGATGATGATAATAATAATAGTATTCATTATAATCATAATAATAACAGTCATAGCAAGCATTTATAAATGTTTTAAGGTTTACAAAGTGCTTTACATAAGCTAACTCATTTAATTCTCACACAAAAAAAGTAAATGCTCTTATTATCCCCATTTTACAGATGAGGAAACTGAGAAGTTAAGTAACTTCGTAGGGTCATACAGCTAATAAGTGTCTGAAGCTGGAGTGAATCAGGGTCCAGTGCTCTGTTCACCCTTCCAATAGCTCTTTGAGAGAGGCACTGTTGGCATTATTATCGTTATTGGGTAGATGAAGAACAAGACACAAAACTAAAGCTAGAATTCAAGTTTCAACTGCAGGTCCAGTGTAGTTGGTATAATCTCACATAATAAATGCCAGATTAACACACTACAGTCCCTGTATTTTCCTGGATGTGTCAATTTTAACATATGACTGCTGAGTATTTGTAGATAGCTAAACATTTTTTTCTGAGGGAAAAAAAATAAACCACCTACTGCTGATTGCTCAGACTCTAAAAACCACTGAAACTTCTCCCAGGATTTTGCTTTGTTTAATAAGACAAGCAAATTTATAGGTTACATTTTAAAAGCTGATATTAGTTAAGCCTCAACTTCCTTCCCACACTTTAAATGTATTGTTTTAATTCACTGAATTAGGTTATATATTTATACACACACACACACACATCTTGCTTCTGGGTCATTTAGCAAAGATCAAATGGCCTGTCACCTAGCTAAGGCAGTTCGGTGTTTAGTTGGAGTGTTGAAGACATGGATGGCAATTTTTGTACAAACTATGGCGTGCTAAAGTGGTAAGTCTGTGATATTGATATGGCACTAATGTAGCCATGACTGAGGAATGGATTATTTTTCATTAATGAATGACTTTTGTATTGTTGACTTGCTAACTGCTGAAAATTATATTTTATTGACTTGTGATTTATTATTGATTTGTGCTTCTTGCAAATATACCTTGATTATTATCAATGTATCTTATCCAATGTATAACTGTAAAATGTTAAATTATTAATACTGATATTTAATTTGTTTGAGCTCACTTTTCTTAACTTTTGAATTATTAATCCAAATCTGACTATCATCTGTATGTATCAGCAGTGTTTAGTTGTAAACTTTTTTTTCTGAAAAATACAGTTTTTAATCTGTTACTAGTTTAATATCCAATATATATTGATACATTCCAGGTTGTAGAACATGTATTTGGTGATTCAAATCTCAAAACCTATTTTCTCCCATTTGACATTTAATTTTAAATTTAAATGTACATTTCAAAAAATTCAGGTGGATTTAACGTGGCCAGTGGGGGGGCTAAGCATTTTCCCAAACAACCCTCTTAATAGTAATTCCATGGCTCTCCTTTTGTTCAGGTAGAATGCTCTGAAACTTCTATCCTAGCCCCTCCATGAAGTCATTTTAATCGAGATACTTTCCGGCACTCTGCAGTCTTTCAGTCCAGAGAACATGAAGGACGAAATCTAAACAAAAGCTTATTTACTTTTTCCACACTTCAGGAACCTGAGTAAATTCAGTCCAAAGAGCCCTAGGGGAAAGAAGAAGAAGAAGAAAAGAGCGACCTTTCATTCAGCACAATTGAAATTAGCAAAGAGGGCTTTATTTACACTGGACATTATCATCCTAATTAAAAAGGTAAGGCAATACATTGATAATGATAGATAATTGCTTTCCAGAGTGGGTATTGCTGAGATATGGTAATCAAATTGTTGTTTGGGACCATTTAGATGTTAATAGGGTAGGATTCTTTGTGCAGGCCATTTTTTTTTTAAAACAGAAGGTAGCTGCATTAAGGCAGAATGAGTTTCTCTGAGCTCAGCCTCAACAGCATTGCTTTGGCTGTGCCTATAATGCTTTCCCCCTGCTCCTGATATTTTTTTAAATGTCACTGAATGAGAAAGGGCACCAGCTTCTATCCTCTCCATTTATCCTCTCTCAAAATTCTCCTCCCCCATCAGTTTCTTAATAAATGTTATTGATATCTTCTGTCTTTACATTGTCAAAATCCCTCCCAGCATCCCTCCACCTCCCAGAAAGTCATTCTATATAACAAAGACTCTTTTTTTTAAGAAAAGAAAAAGAGGAAGAAGAAAAAAGTCATTAAAATAAATTAGAACATCAAAAGAGTATGAGAGAGTGTGTGTGATGTTTTATACTCAGCAACTTTCTGCCTCTGCAAAGAAGTGGCGGGAGACTACTTCTCCTATCTGAAAAGATATCTGAAAGAATTCCCCCCAGTTTTAAAGGGTTAAAGATCTAAATCCAAACTGCCTTGTTGGGCAAATATGCCACCCAAGATGGTTATAGCTTCAGCCTTTCTGAAAGGCTTTCTACTGGTTCTCCTTTTCTTTCCCCTGTCGTCCCCTGTGTTAATTTAATGCAATGTCATTAGACTCGGGTTTTCTACTTGGGTGAACACTGCAAATCCCACCTCCTGTTGCCTTATTTTTCAGACCTCGTTTTACCTCACGAAACTCTTATCTCCATGTATCTTTGCACAAACTGTCTCACACATCTGAAATACACTCCCTCCCCTAACTCCACCGTCTCAGAATCCCTAGTTTCTTTCAAAACTCAGCTCGAGTACCACCTCCTACTGGAGACCTTTCCCAATCCTCCAGTTGCTGGTGCCTTCCCCTCCTCAGATTACCTTGTATTTGTTTCATGGACACTTACATTTGTCAACTTTGTCTCCTTCTTAGAATGTAAACACCTCGAGACCAGGGTCTGATTCACTTTTGACTTTTATCTTCAATGCATGTTTCAGTGCCTGGCTCATAACAGGTGCTTAATCTTCATGCCTGCAGTGACTTTTTTTTTTAACTGAAAGGTTGAGTTGACTTTTTTTAAACTTTTTTTTTTTAACTGAAAGGTTGGGATCAATAATTTCAAAAATCGACCAAAGAGCCTTCTATGGTTTCCACAGGTTCTGAACAAGCTACAACAGCTCCCTGCCCTCTTCTTGATTCCAGCCCTGTCCAAGACCTTGCTAAAAGTGTGGCCACTGAGGAAGCCATGGTGGGTACACACCATGGGAGTGGAGGAAGGGGACACTGTTCAGGGGCCTGCCTCAGCCTTAACCTTATTGTTTCCTTCTCTGTAGGCTGCTACCATTCCCTACTCCCAGGGAATATCTGAGGGTAGGGGTAGAGAAAGGGAAACAGAAAAAGAGAAGAGGGAAGTTGGAGGATGGTGTGCTCCAAGTGGAGAGGAATATAGTCCAACCACAAGGCAGGAAGATAGCAGCCCAGCCTCTATCACCAGGAGAAAATTTCTGCTCAATGGGAATACACACACACACACACACATACACATTGTATATATATATACATCACATATATATACACACATTACGATGGGTGGAACTGAAAATTAATGTCACAATGGATTATAAGAGGAGAATTAAAAATGAGTGGAAGAGAAAGTGAGTGTGGAAACCTAGAAGCCTTTTATTTTTCACTTCACCTCTGGGATTCCAGATTTCAGGACAGGTTTTGGAATCAAAGGATCACAGTTTGAAATATAAGCTTAGCCAAATCACTTAAGTGCCCTGGGCTGTATTTTGCTCGAGTGTAAAATGAGGGGGGTGAGGGGGGTTGGACATCATGGGTTCTTAACCTGGGATTTTTGAGCTTGTGTTTTTTTAAAAAATCTTGATAACTGCATTTCAATAGAATTGGTTTTCTTTGTAATCTTACGCAATTTGTTTTATGCATTTAAAAATCTTATTCTGTATTTTATACAGTAACAGTAATATTGTAACAATAGTCAACTGTGACTCACCTATTCTCTCTGCTCAATACAATGATCTAAGACAATTCCAGAGTACTTATGATGAAAAATGCTATCCACCTCCAGAAAGAGAACTGATGAGCTCTGAGTGTAAATTGAAGCATACTTTTTCATTTTCTTTGATTTTTTTTGCTTTTTTTTCCTGCAATATGGCTAATATGGAGATATGTTTGTATGATTTCACACATACAATCGATATCCTATTGCTTGCCTTCTCAATGGGTGGTGGAGGAGCTGGAAGGAGTGAGAGTATTTGGAATTCAAAATTAAAAAAAAACTTAAAAATATTTTTGGAGCAGCTAGGTGGCACAGTGGATAGAGCACTGGCCCTGAAATCAGGAGGACCTGAGTTCATATCTGGTCTCAAACACTTGACACTTACTAGCTGTGTGACCCTGGGCAAGTCATTTAACCCCATTGCCTAGCAAGAAAAAATATATATATTTTTTGTGTTGGTAATTTTTTTATTCTTTTTTTATTAATTTATTTTTAGTTTTCAACATTCACTTCTATAAGCTACCCCTCCCTTTCCCAGTCTCTCCCCAAGATGGTGTGCAATCTGATATAGGCCTTACATATACATTCCTATTAAACATATTTTCACATTAGTCATGTTGTAAAGAAGAATTAGAACCAGTAGGAAGAACCACAAGGGAGAAGAAACAAAGCAAAACAGAAGAGGAAAAAAAAAGAACAAATAGTATGCTTCTATCTGCAAAAAATAGATATTTTTTAAAAAATCATTTTGAGAAGAGATCTATAGCCCTCACCAGACTGCCAAAGGGGTCCCTGATAGGAAAAAAAAAATAAAGTTAAGAACTTTAGAACCAGATAACTGTTTTCCAAAGTTTTACTCTCCTACTCAAAGTTTTCTGATCCTTTGTTGCCACTTTAGACCAGGCCTTCTCTACACTTATCAATGGGTTTATCATTAGGAGGAAAGGGTTGAAAGTGAGTGTGTGTGTGTGTGTGTGTGTGTGTGTGTGTGTGTGTGTTGAGGAGAGCTTTTAGGAAACCAAGCCTTTATCAGTCTATCAAAATATTCACAGGAATGTGCTTTTTCTTGCCTTAACAATATCCTTAAATCACATTCGAATAAAAGTTGCCAATCTCCTGCCCATGATCTCTCCTCCCTCTCTCTCTCTCTCTCTCTCTCCTCTGCTTTCCTCTTTTCTCTCCCTCTTTCTTTCCACACATTGCAGTGAAGTTATAGAACTGCTTCTTACCTAGTTTACTGTTATTTGTCAAACTCCCTTTAATCGCTTTAAAAAAAAAATAACGCCACCCACTTATTTCATTTACTTGGGTAGCATTGGACTTTGAATTAGGACCTTCTAACCCAGACATTTACTAGTTGTATGATTTTAGGCATCATTTCAATTATATTTGCCTCAGTTTTTTCATCTGTGAACAAAATGGGCTTAATACCTATAGCACTTATCTCAAAGTTATTGTAAGGTTCAAATGAGACCATGGATATGCTTTACAAACCTTAAAATGCTATATAAATGTCAGCTGCTATTTTTAAAAGTCATGACTCTTGGGTGCAAAGTATGTAGAAATGGTTCTTAATAGCAGAATGTCCCAGAGGCAGGTAGGAAAAAAAAACGAGAGTAAGAGGTTGGACTGTATAGAAACAAAGAACCAGGTAGTAAAAATAAATACTGAATTACATTAGAGAGGTCAGAATCATTTTGTGAAAATGCATATAAAAGGGTTCTGCCCGATTGTCAGCGGAGGAGAGCCATGCAAATGAATAGGCAAAACAAATTAAAAAGGACTGAGAAGGAAAGAAGGCTGGGCAATCTTCCTATCACTTAGTTCAATCTGCTTCTCTTCTCATGGATTTCCACCTTAGAGAAAAGTGGAGACTACCTGCTTTAGATGCTATCTCCGATGAAGGCCTGGGGGAGGGGAAAACCATCTTTGATAGAGCTTACATCTTACTGAGTATCTTGTGCAGGCAGAACTCATTTTTAAAAGATCTTTATAATGGAAATGGGACCCATGTCATTTGACTTGTCATCACATTTTGATTGGAAATATTTTACTTGTCCAATTTTGTAAGAACAATAACTATTTCTACCCTACTGATTCAGTGTTCTGGAAGGTGAACCAGGTACTGGAAAAGGTCAGTGGGCTTGGAGGGATTCCTGAAGATTCACCATGACTTCAGAGTTATTTCTGTGCTTCTGTCCTAGTGAAAGTGCTTGACTGTTATGTCAGTCAGTCAACAAGCATTTATTAAGTGCCTACTGTATAATAGACACTCTGCTAAATGGCTGGGCCTATAAAGAAAGGTTAAAAAGAAAAAAATACAGTCTTTGTTCTCAAGGTGCTCACAGTCTAATGGGAGAAGATTGTAAAATGAGAACTGAAAGAGATTTTAGGTGTCACCTAGCTGAACTCTTCATTTCACCGTTTAGGGAACTGAGGCTCAGAGAAGTTAAGTGTGCACGAGCCTGGCATATGTCATTCAGTCCTGTCCAACTCTTTGTGATCCTGTGGACCACAGCACACCAATACTGTCCATAGACTTTTCTTGGCAAAGATACTGGAGTGGTTTGCCATTTCCTTTTCCAGGGGATTGAGGCAAACAAAGATTAAGTGACTTGCCCAGGGTCACACAGTATCTGAGGTCAAATTTGAGCTCAGGTCTTCCTGACTCTAGGCCTCGAGCTTAATAGGTGCTTAATTAACGCTTGTTTACTTTAGTGATTTATTTAACATAACACAGGTGTTACTGGCTGAGGTGGGATTTGAACCACCAGGGTTAGCACTCTTTCTATAATCCCATGCTGTTACCATTTTTTTCTATTCATTATCATAAGGGTTTTTAACATAAAATCTATTATATATATATATATATATATATATATATATATATATATATATATATATATATATATATCCATCCATCCATCCAGGCAGGCAGCTAGGTGGCACAGTGGATAGCACATCAGCCCTGGATTCAGGAGGACCTGAGTTCAAATCTGATCTTAGACACATAACACTTACTAGCTGTGTGACCCTGGGCAAGTCACGTAACCCCATTGCCTAGGCAAAAAAAAAAAAAAAAGAGTTCTAGCTCTATCTATCTATCTCCCTCTCTTTCTCTGTCTCTATATAGTTCGCAGAGGTTTGGATTAAATTACCTTCAACCTCTTTATTGTTGTCTGTTAGATACAAAAAGGGCTAGGTGACAGTGGACTAAGTGCCCAGACTAGAGTCAGGAAGACATCTTTCTGAGTTCAAATCTGGCCCCAGACACTGGCTGTGTGACCCTGGGCAAGCCATTTAACCCTGTTTGCCTCAGTTTCCTCATCTGTCAAATGACCTACAGAAGGAAATGGCAAACTACTGTAGTATCTTTGCCAAGAAAACCCCAAAAGGGGTCACAAAGACCCTGTTTTCAGTCACCAGTGAAAACAACCAAACAACAAAAGCTACAAAGAATGATTTGCACATCTTTATTGCTTATCAAATTGGGTAGAGAACGAGGCTATCTTCATTGGCTGGTCTATAGCAAGAGGGAACCCTAAGAAAATCACAGCTGTTTCCAGGATCTCCTCTCCAATCTTGGGGAAGGTAGAATCTTGCCCGAGGCTGGACAAGTCTGGAGGCCTGCACGTTCTAGATCTTGTGGTTGTTTGTTTGTTCGTTTGTTTTAAATCGGTTCTGCTTATTCTCTCACTCCAGAGCCACCTCCTCCAACGGATCTCTTGTGAAGACATTTCGTTTTGGTGTTCCTCCCTCTCATTTTCATCTTTGACCCATTCAGGCTGACAAATTTCAATTGGAGAAATCCCAGTTTCATAGACCTCGGATCCTAAAGACCACATCACAAAATACTGCTTTTGTTATGGGGGGAGAGGGAGGGGAAGATGAAAGAAATTAAGAAGAAAACCTGAGTGCTTCAGATGGCTGTTTGTTGATTTTGTGCCCATGGGCAGGAGGGGCTCAGGCTCTAAGGATTCGCTTTTGCTCTGTCTTCAACTCTTACACCTTAGCAATTTCCCCCAGGGCAGGTGGGCTGACTATCTCTCCTCTCAGACTTTCTCTCATTTCTACCCAAACTTTACCTTTTGATAACAAAATCAGCCTGGGGAAGGTGTGCGTGTGTGCGTGTGTGCGTGTGTGTGTGTGTGTGTGTGTCTGTGTGTCTGTGGGTCTGTGTGTGTATGTGTGTGTGACTGTGTGCTTGATTTTCACTAGCAGGCCAAGCGAGCGCCTTAGAGACTGCATGCCTTAGCAAGCCAGTGTGGGAAGAGGTAGCCGGCTGGGAGCCGTGTGTGTTGAAATCAGGTAGCTTGCCAGTGCCACCTCACTGTGAATTAGACGGGCACAAGCCAACATACATAGAAAAGCATGTCATTCCTCCCCCTCCCTCGGCCTCTTTACCTGCATTTAGGGCTTGTGAAATATCTGGATAAAGCCTGGTGTACAGGAAGCTCTTTATGCACATGAATAAATAGCACAAGAGAAGACCAGCAGGGTTGACTCCCTCCCTTTGCTAAGATGCCAAAATCCTGTTGAGAAAGGACCACCTATTGAGTGAGAAACTCCTGCATATAGCCAGATGAACTGCTGGGCCGCTTGCTCAGTTTGCCAAAATGAGGACGTCCTGGCCAATGAATGCCTATTACACATGCCAACTGGACAATGGCGTGGGGGGGGAGGGGATATGAGAGAAGAGAAGGGAGGGCAGCATTAGCATTAGAGTTTGCAAGGCACTTTACAAATATTATTTCCTTTGATCCTTACAACATCCTTGTGAGGTGGTTTTTGTTGTTATTCAGTCATGTCTGAGTCTTCCTGACCCCACTTGGGGTTTTCTTGGCAAAGACATTGGAGTGCTTTGCCATTTCATTCTCCATATCACTTTGCAGATGAGGAAACTGAGGCAAACAGGGTTAAGTGACTTGCCCAGGGTCACACAGCTGCTAAATATTTGAGGTCTGATTTGAACTCAGGTCTTCCTGACTCCAGGTCATGAACTCTATCCACTTGCCACCTAGCTACCTTGTGAGGTAGATGCTATTATTATCCTTATTTTATGGTTGAGGAACCTGAGACAGAGGTGAAATGAATTGCTCCAGAGTCCTGCAGAAAATAAAAATCTAAGGCCAAATTTGAACCCAGGTATTCCTGACTCCCGGTCCAATGCTGTAGCCACTATACCACCTAAATATTTTTCAAAATTTGTTCTGATATATACAAAGACATGAACTAAATGATTTAAAAAACAAACACCCATTTATAAAACACTTACTATAAAGATAAGCAGTAGACATGATTCTTAAGCACTTCCCAAAGATAGCATTGCCTTCCCTCTGAGACCACCTCCCCTCTACTCTGTATATACCTTGTGTGTACCTAGCTCTTTACATTCTGTTTCCCTGTTAGAATGTAAACTCCATGAGGGCAGGGACCATGTTTTTGTCTTTCGTTATATCCCCATTACACCGTGCACATGTGTACATATGCACAGTGCCTGACACATAGTGGATGCCTAATAAATGCTTATTGATGATGGTTGATGATGATGTCGTGGAAAGAGCTCTGGATTGGGAGGGTCAGAAGAGAACTGGGTTCATATTTTGCCCCCTACCCTAGCTGGGTGACTGTGGACAATCAATTAGTCAATCACTAACCAAGCACTTATCAAGTACTTTGTATGTTCTACAAACTTGAGGATACAAATAGAAAAATGAGATAATCGTTCTACTTCTCTGGGCCTCTATTTCATAAAATATGGGATCAACTATGAAGTCCTCTGTTGCTTAAAATTCTTCATAACCTTTCCAGTCTTCTTACACCTTGCCCTCCTCCACATACTCCACCACCTAGTTATACTGACCTACTTGCCTCTGAGGCTTTTGCACTCACTGAAACCCCTGCCCAGAATGCTCTGACCTCGGCCCTCTACCTCTTAGTTTTCCTGGCTTTCTCCAAAGCTCAGCTCAAATTCCACCTTCTGCCTGATACCTTCCCCCTTCAGATTACCTTCAGGTAGATTACTCTGTATATATCTTGAATGTACGTAGTTATTTATGTCGTCCCTCTCATTGGAATCTGAGCTCCATGAGGAGTGGGACAATTTTTGCCTTTCTTTGTAGCCCAAACACTTAGCACGGAGCCTGGCACACCACAAGTGCTCAGTAAATGCTTGTTGACTGACTGGACTTTGATAAGTACTAACGAACCAAAAAAGGCTTCAAATACAGGTCCTCTGGTGGACTGTCCATCTCTTATCCCTGAACCAACCAAAGTTCCAAGAGCTTCACGGGCAAGCTAGCCATGAGGTAAAGAATCCTAGGAGCGTAACAACCCATAAAGACCATCTGTCATGATGTTGAGGGGTTGTAATATGCTCTGACGGAAGGGATACCCAGATTAGCAAAATAATACAAGAATTATGTCAAATGTCAGTTGGCCTCTCTTATTTTCTAGTGACGATCCCATTTCAATGGAGAGTTTCAGGAAATGGGCCCACTGCCTGAAGGTTACAGTGCAGTAGGATTTTAGAAAGAGAAAGAAGCATAGGCATCATCTAGTACAACCTTCTCATTTGACAAATGGGCAAAGTGAGACTCAGACGGATGAAGTAGCTTGCCCAAAGTCACACAACCAGTTAGTGGAAGGATTAGAGCCAGAGCCTCAGCTTCCTGGTTCCCAGGAACCAATGAACTTTTTAGCACTAGACAATATTATGTTCATGCCAGTCAACTTCCCCTATAATTGGTAACTAACCGGCACCATCCGAAGTTCTTTAGTTCCCTTTGATGAGCCTTTCATGGACAGCTGAAGTGGAAAAGAATGGTATAGGATAACAGACCTGGAAGTGTCCCTGGAGTCCTTCCAGTCCAACCAAGGCCCAACATGGTATGTGGACTTGGAGTTAGGAAGACCTGGGTTCAAATCCATTCTCAAACATGTAATAAAATGGAGAAAACAATGGAACTTACTTCATTGGGTTGTTGTGAGGATCAAATGAGACATGTCTGTAAAGTACTTTAGCATTATACATAATTATTTTTACATAACTTGCTCCAAGTCATACAGACCAGGACTTCTTAAATTTTTTCCTCTTGAGACTGCTATTCAAGTTTCTGTAGCATTCCTTGGCATTGTGTGACGTGAAAGCATGCGCAGTGTAAAGCACGCATGCTTTGTGTTCAGAACCAAGGCGGCAGTGAAGTTGCCTGGTGCAACATGGGCGAGTGCTGCTGGAAACACCTCAGATTCATTACATGTTTGATTTTTAATTAATTTTTGGTCATTGCACATTCAGAAACCTTTTCCTGTTGCCACATTTTTCACGCCCCTATATGGGGTCATGACCAACAGTTTAAGAAGTGCTGATATAGGCAATAAGCATCAGAGGTAGAATTTGAATCCAGATTCTTTGACTTAAAGGTCAATGTTCTTTCCACCGTACCGTGTTTTCTCCCTATGAGTTAGTTCGTCTTTTTTTTTTCTTTTAAAAGTATTTTATTTTTTTCTACTACATGTAAAGACACTTTTAAATATTGAATCAGTTCATGTTACATTGCCAGGGCACTCTCCTCCTCTCCTAGGGGACATGAGAAGCAGAACTAAAAGAAGGAACTTGTCTGGAAACAGAAAAATGAGGTCTCCATTTTTCCTTTTGCCACCTTCTTTATGGGATTCTTAACAACCATTTTGTAGGATATAGTTATTACAGTTGTTTTCTAAGTTAATTGCCTATTAGAGGGGAAGTTGGCTGGTGTGAACACAGTTTTAAGGAAGTGTTCTCAAATAGTGCCTCATAATTCCATTCCATTCAAACACTTATTAAGTGCCTACTACTTACTTGTAAAGTTTCTGCTAGGTTGGGACAAGAAGACAAGCTTTGTCTTCACCAAGCTTATTTTCTATTGGGAGGTGGAGAATCAGATAAAACATGTAACAGAATTGTAAAGAAAAAGGAATACAAAGTCATTACAAGAGGGAGCGAGTACAAACACCTGTGTGCTTAAGAAAGACTTCCTCAGGAGGTACACCTGAGTAGGGCTTTGAAGGAGATGTGGTCTCTAGGGGATGGAGTTAAGTTTGTCAATCAATTAACATTTATTAATGTTTACCATGTGTCATGCACTGTGCTAAGTGCTAGGGAGACAAAGAAAAGCAAAAGACAGTCCTTGCCCTCAGGGAGTTTGCAGTCAAGTGGGGGATAGACTATATAAACACCTCTGTACAAGCAAGCTAGGGACAAGAGTTGAGGACAGAATGAATTCCAGATATGGGGACTTACTACTCAGCACTGAGTAGTGGCCCTAGACAGTTGTTCCATAAGACTTTTCTCACGCATCCCTTCGGTGGACATACCAGAAAAGTTTCACATTTCACTTTTTGCCGCACAAAAGCACTTGGATTAGTCTAATTGAAATCCCATATTCTACTGGAGTTCACTTTATGTTGTCAGTGTTTACATAGCTGCAGGTGTGGGTGTGACTGCGTGTTCCTCTGCATTTTCTACCCCAACATCATCCCCTTGACTATTTCTTATTGGTTTTCCTCACTATAAATACCCATGTGGGTGGGCGCCGAATCGACCACAGGTCCAGGTATAGGTTGGACTCCTAAAATGATTATCTCTTTGAAAGGAAAACAAATGGTAGGTAAAATGAACCACAGTTATAGACTGTCTCTGGTTTTATATAGACTGGATTTGTGGGAGAGGGGAGGAATGTGACCTATATTTGGACCAATAATGTACATGCTTTTTGATGATCACACAATTCATACGATAAAATTCAGTAGGACAGAGAAATTACTTCCATGTCACTGGAGAAGCTGTTCCCCTAAGCATTATAATAATAAGAATTAGCATTAATAGAGCATTTTATACTTTATTATTTGATCTTCATAACAACACTCTGAGGTTGTTGTTCAGTTATTTTCAATCACGTCTGACTCTTCATGACGCCATCCAGGAGTGGGGAGCCTT